AAATGTTGGAGATCTCTGCTTGGGCTCCATTGAATGATCGGTCCGATGGCAATATCAGATCTCCAGTCACGGAGTAAACGAAGAAACCATAATGCCTCATCGGAGGCTAGCCAGCCGTTGTCTTGCGTGGCTGCTGCACATCGTTCGGCAAATGGCGGGTTAGGCTCCATGTGAATGATCTCACATCTACCCCATGCTGGATGTCCTCCACGATATATCGCTCCGCCCCAACCTCGAAAGGATGAAGATCGCAGGTTGTTGCAGGCAGAGGCAATCGGTCGAAATGCGTCTGATAAGGCTGCTTGCTGTGGCATATTGTGGACAACATCATTGTTCTGATGTCTTGGTACACCCAGTCGATCAGAGCCACCCCTTTGGGGGTTTCTGGGCAAGTGGAAATTGCCACAATCATATAGTGAAGTCGGAAAAAGGATTTTGTCGATGTCAACTGAAAGGTGTTCTTGACCATAGATCTCCACGGGACCAGCGGAAGAACAACAATGTGAACCAAGGATGTAACTGGGTACAGTCCCACTAGAGATGGTCATATGTCGTTGAAGTTGTCCGTCTGGTCCGCTAGTGACATCAAGCTGAAGCGAAATTTGAGAAGGCATACGGAGTGCATGGTTAGTGGCACGGATGACCCCGTCAAGGACGGATGGCTGTTGAAGGAGCTGCTGCGTCCAGATAGGATAGGTAACATGTGATAGAACTGTCAGGGGCCATAGGGACTCCTGCGACGGTTGTGCATGGTATACATCACCGGTCCACCGACTGGCGGTGCGGTCTCCGTGGCAGTAGAACAGCTCTTCTGTGACAGCGAGGTCCACCAATGCAGTGGAAGAGTCTACGACAGCCACCTGTGATGGGCAGCTATAGAAGGATCGCTGTAGACTTAGATCAAAAATAAGCTGTAGGCGGTTGTTATCGGGTACAGCCCCGCTAAAGGTAGTGTATCGTAGAATCTCTTGATGCAACTGAAGTTGATCCTTGTCAGAGCGAACGGCGGTGTCTTGCAGGATATTAACAGGCGTCAAAATGGTGTGAGCCAGATTGCCTGAGCACGCTGAGAAGTCGCAACGGCAAATTGACACCGTCAACGGGCGAAGAAATGGTAGAGGACCATCAACACTCTGTTCCACTTTTGTGGAAATATCACTGTTCTGATACAGCAGAGTTGTTGATGCGCTTCCCATTGTTCTGGAATCAAACCCGAATAAACTGTCAAGGTCTTCTAAATTGCTCTGTGAATGTACCTTCCATAAAACTGCATCATCATTTCGTCGAGCAGACTCACGTACTCGGTCTCCTGTGATCTGGACCAATCTGAGCAGTCGGAAAAGATTGATGTTGGAAACGGGTACAGCCCCACGGAATATGGTACATTGTAGTTGACGTAGATCCTGCACGTTTGGGTCCAGTCCATCTGCTGAGGACATTGACCTTTGAGTTGTGACCAAAAGTGGATCACAGGCGTCACTGTTATCAACTGTCAGTAAAGACGTAGGATATGTGTCTGACACGTTGTCTATCCAGTCGTGTTGAGTGTCTGGAGACGAAGATGATGCTTCAGATTGCAAGCTAGTGAGCTCTGCACTAGCATAACCATCGTGAGGTCCAATGGAACTCAAAACGTTGAGGTAGGAGCGGAAATCATCTGTGAAGCATTGCATCGCCACTTGATCAAAGTCTGTATCATCTGACAGCTGCCCATCTCTGCTGGACATGTCTGGGGTTAACACACATAACTCTCCATGACCAGACTGAGTGATGCATAAACGTCTTTTGTCGTCCTGACTGTAAAAGAGCTGCTTAAAGATTGGCATCGGTGAAACCCCCTTGTCCATAGAGCTGAGGTTGTAGCCGGGTACAGCCCCGCGAGATATTGTCAAATGCGTTAGTGCTGGGATCGAAGCGGTTGGATCGGGTACAGCCCCTGTGGATATAGTGGTTTGCTGTAGCCGTTGAGTATTGTGTCCACCAAAATTTTCAACGTAATCTCCTGGACGATCACCTGCTTCTGTCTGGCACGAGGAATGAGGTATGAGGCAGTGTGTCGAAACAACATCTGTAAAAACATCATGTTTGGCGGACTGACCAATACCTGTTGGAATATGTGACAAAAGCCCTGAAGAAGTCCGGGAGCAATTTGGATCTCTGCATCGGTCAATGTCAGTGCTGGTTGCAACAAAAGGACACAAAGCGTCCCGAATTCCAGAGGAACTCGACAATACTGTGTTCGATTGCACTGACTGTAGCCAACTGAAAGAAACTTGGGTAAAATTTCGGATAAGTTGTGATAAAGATGTCAGCATTGGTCGGCATGAGCAACTCATAGACTTTTCCCTTGTGCTGGATGATATCTGCATGCCAGTAGAGGGAGAAGTCGGATGTAATAGGTCATCAACTGTAGGACACGTCATGTCGCGGTAACAAGCACCTGTGTACCATGTCACCACTGGCTTCCTCAAAGTCCGGATCGATGAAGATAGCGAAACTTGAGAAGGCGAAATGCTCTGTAGCCTGCAAGCAGAATTTGTCGTGTAGGATGTACATGTGTCCGATGACTCAGGTCTGTTCCACCATCGTTGAAAACTCGGTACCTTGAACCAAGCAAAGCATTCTGAAGGAGGTATTGAATCATCTCGTGCGAAGCTGACTGTCTTCTCGAAACCTTCCGGTTGAGCAAATTCAGCAAACAGCGTCGCACTACTCCAGAATGAACTCTTGGCATGGCGGGAAAGTCGTTCTCCAGAGGTTCTATCAGCCTGGTTGTAATACATCGCCCATGGTTCAAGCGGGTCATCATATGGGTGTACACATACCGGCACGGACCGAACAGCCTTGGTGCTGTAGGTATATCCCTGCGCCCATGGTTCAAAATCCTCCTGATCTCCTGTGTACATATTGTCCGTGTCATGATGGCACACTGTGTGATGAACCACTTTGCTTGAAGACTCTTGATGAATCGTTTGGCTGTTGGTGTCAAACTTGGAGGAGACCAACATTACCCATGGTTCTGTATCGAAAGGATCTGACTGGGTCAGGCCATAGCCGGACATCCTATCGAACTTTTCATATTCCATAGCCCATGGTTCAAAATCATCAATTTGGGGCTTGTAACCAGGGTCGGAGACTCCCGGTGGAACATCTGGGAGGTCCTGCATGATGAACTCATCTGCACTTGTTTCGTCAGCTGGTGGCATCTTCACACCTGCATGCCAACTCCCATACTTGTGCCAAATGTACATAACACATGGCCGACTGGTAGATAGGTGTGGCAGCACTTCCAGACTCACCTTCAAAATACGCTTTGCACCCTGTGTGGTGAGGACCTCAACAAGGGCATAGTCGCGAGTTCTCAAAAGCGTCTGTGAAGCAGTGATCTGACAGCAAAATGCGGCCTTCCAGCTGGATGAACTTCGAAAGGTATATCGGAGAAACTCCACATGCATGGATGCCATGGCTCGATCCGAACCCTGTCTTACGACAAGGTTGCAGGCACGCCCCGTGCAGGCTCGAGCCCAATGCCTCTGGCCATACTACTAGGAACAAGAAGCTACTAGGGGCTCCTGGCATCGCTACTAGGAGCAAGGACGCTACTAGGGGCTCCTGGCATCGCTACTAGGAGCAAGGACGCTACTAGGGGCTCCTGGCCATACTACTAGGAACAAGAAGCTACTCGGGGCTCCTGGCATCGCTACTAGGAGCAAGGACGCTACTAGGGGCTCCTGGCCATACTACTAGGAACAAGAAGCTACTAGGGGCTCCTGGCATCGCTACTAGGAGCAAGGACGCTACTAGGTTACTAGGAGTCGGACGCTACGAACGGGATGATCTACTTTCGACCTCTGTGACCTACAAGTGACCGGTCATTATTCAGACGACCCAACCCCAGAAAATTGCATGGAGCGGCATGCTTCCATCGCTAGGTGTTCATCAACTAGCGATGTACCGCTTTCTGCAGCAAATGGTCGCATCAATTGCACAGTTTCTTAAACCAGTTATTTGTCTCTTGATAGCTACCTCTGCAAGGGTTTTTCATCTAACTCTTTTGAACTTGTTTGATAAAGTTTATGGTTCCCTGTCTGATTAAAGCCCGTAACATGTAAAAATGAGTTGTGGTATGTTCCAAGAGGTTGATGTGTGTAGACAATATAAATCCATATAGTATAATACTATATATATATGTCATTATGTACTACAGTATATACTATATAAAAATTCACCCCTTCTGATTTCTTCATAAAGTGTTGCGATTGGAAAACGAATTGAGTGTCTGCCAGCTACTAGTTACTAGACCACCTGCGTCTTTCTTTGGTTGAACTTGGAGAGACGGTAGTGACGCAGTGGCGCATAGTTTAAGGAGACTAAACATTAACCACGCAAAATTTGAAATATGGTTTGAAACATACTTGGTTGAGCAATCAACCCCAGGCGTCCCTGGCCAACCAACCACGATGTGTTTCTCTTTGCTTGCTCAGATAACACCCGGAACTTTGATGCTAAAACAGACTCTGAACAAATCATGTTTTGCAAACGTCACCTAAGCAAACAAAGACGGTGGCGAATGACCCAAAAGCGGCATACTCAAGTGGGATAAAAATCCGGAACAATGAGGGACATGGGCATCTACTTGACCTGATCCATATTCCATACATTGTGACATACTGACGTTGTCTGAGGAAAACAATGAAAGCATGATAAAGCATGCATGTTGACATGTTTTAATGAAAGCGGTATCCAGTAGCTCGTCACTTCATAAACCATCAGGCAAGGCCAAAGCAAATGCACCACCAGTCGTGTACAAATATGTACCTGGCATATAATTAAGAAGTATCTACGTATTAATAGTATTGAATAGTGAATAATGAGTGACTTTCCCGTTGTTTCCCCTTTTCCTCGTTTATAGACCTCTACAAACTGTTCGTTGTGCTGGCCTTCCAAATTCCAAACGTTCCACCACCGGAGCCCCGTCCCCCGCGGTGCTTCCCAGGGTCTCCCGGTTGTATTGCCATAGCGTGTTCGCCGCGCCGGCGATGGCCGCGGCGCCCACCAAGCCCGAGACCGGCATCGCTGGACGTTTGCAGGTAAAGACCCCTCGAAAAAGACGTTTTCTAACGGGAAATGTTGGGCAAGTCCCTTTTGAGACTGGGGAATTGTCTGAGGCGCAATTGACAGAAAGGAAGCATTGGATCATGTTGGATCGTGCGGATGATTCCCAATTCGGATGGCCACTTTTGGGAAGCTCCATGGATTTGTGAACCGAGCCAAGCTGGAGCGAAATTGTTGATTTGTCTTTGCCAATGCAGCAGTTCCAAATATACTATATACTGATATATATATATATACTACACATTACTATACTATGTCATTACTAATTACAATATCACTCTTGGAATGAAAGGAAGCATTTGGAAGGCTGGAGAAACGAGTCCAATGACTGACAGTAAATGGCACACCGAAGCAATGTCTGGATTGTGTACACACAAATGCTTAAGATTTCTTAGCAATGATCTGGGACCCGTCTGTTTCAAGAAACAATTGAACCGTTAACCGCTTCCGAAACGCTCTTCGAATCTGCTGGTTAGCTCACTGGTTAACTCACGTAGATGTTCAACCAGCTGTTCCTCATGAGTCCTATAGACCGCACACCCAGTTCCAGGAGTGGAAGAAAAAGATCAGCGAAACCGAAATAGAAGCTGCTAAGAGCTTTTGTATGCTGTCCGGTCTCAACATACCAGCTTACCTCTGATGTATGAGTATGACCCCAAATTTCTGAGTGTTAAAAGCCTAAGCCTAAGCTATCAACAGGGGAGAGCCGTTTCGGCTCGAGCCTTCTCACTATGTCAATGGTCCTTGAGGGTGGTGGACACCGATATGCCATGGGCCATGAGGTCAACCTGATATCCTTCGCCAAAATGGTGATTCGACAGACGTCTGTACACAATGATTCGACAGACCATGTTTGTTAGAGTTATTTCACATGCAAACACCATTTGTCCTGTCACCGTATCATTTCCTTGCTCAAATCCTGCTCCTGGGACTCGTTGAATCTCTTCTCAGCGAACCTGTTCTGGACTCCAATGGTTTCGTTCCGCCCGCAAAAGAACGGTGATGATTTTCGTGGGAAGAACTCTTACACATCTGCACAATGGTTTCGTCTCCTCCCTGATTGGCATCCATCACCCCTGATTGGCATCCAGGCCCATCTGCCGCAGCGTCACGTATCCCGCATGGGGTTTCGTCTCCTGTGATCGTCTCGGGTTTCGACCGAGAGCGCCAGGCCTCCGACGATCCGGTGAAGAAACCCAACCCACCGGACTCCTGACAGCAAGAAGCTACTAGTAACAAGGGCATCGCTACAAGAGGCTACAAGAGGCATCTATATATATATATATCTATATAAATCTTTTAAACCACTACCTATATTGCCTACCGGTCCCAGGCAATGAAGCTGGTCATGGCCGAGAAAAAAGGTTTCGGCTGTCCACCACCTGTTCGTGACGCATCTGTTTCAAAGTCTGGCGTGTGCCCTACGGAGATGGTAGAATGGTAGTCCTGGCCCTTTGATGGTATGACCTTCTATTCCTAAACCTCGAATGCAAATCCAATTCAATGGCTGTTTCTGCTCCCTTGTTGCGCCTCATATTTGTGCACACTGCAAGTATCTTTTCAAATGATCTACCAGCACATCCGGCAAAGGTTGTCGTCTTGGGCCGTCCTGTTTGTGAAGCAGCCAAGCGTAGTAGTGAATAATCATTGAACACATCCGAGTTATAGGATTCCATATGATTGCAAGTATCCATCTCCAGGTAATTCAACATGTTGGAACGCCCCACGCCTTGGGTCCCGCCCCTTGCGTTGTGGCTCGGGTCCTGGTAGGCTTTGTGGCAATGATTCCAAAAGCCCCACGCCAAGCGTGGCTCGCCCGTGGCCTGTTGGCTCCCGTGGCCCGAGTCCAGGCATGCAGGGATTCCCTGCCCGAGGTGATGTTTCGCAAACCCCCCAGAGGTGCCAGGACTCAGGACTGCAGTGCTTGGAGCTGCAGTCAACGGCTCTAAACCTGTTTTGGACTTTTCATGTCCCTCCACATGTGGTGGGAGAGTCCAAACTCCGGTATCCTCAATTGTCGAAGCCTTAGTGAGGCGCTCTTACCGTGGTGCTCCAATACAACAAGACTGTTGGAACCTCTCTCGAGGACTCGCAATCTTGAACCTTCCACTATTGGGAAGATTGTACAATGTTTTATTTGGTGCACGCCCCGGTCCTTTCACAGCCCGTCAGTAAACTCATGTTTGTTTCGTCTGGAATCCTGTAGCATTTGGCTACCAGGCTACTGCCGAACCGTTCCACTCTTCCACCACACTATCCTGGTGGGCCCCAACATGGAATTGAATAGTACTTATATAAATGGAAGCTCTAATCCGGTGTATCGGCTCATCGCTGCACACGCAACTCGAAGCAATCTGCCACTAGTGAGCTACCATGTAACACCTAAGCATCCCCCTGCAGATTTACTGGCACCTGAAGATTTTGGTATACTATAGTAAAGTATACTGCTACAGTTACTATTATAGTAAAGAATCGAGAACGGAACTTGAAAGGAAGACAATTTTCTTTTGCATTCGTTAGGCAATTCTCAGCACCACCAGTAATTAGCATCAGTTAGCCACATGCTGAGATAATTTGAACATGTGCTGAGAGCATGGAGCCACAGTCGTGGAACCCACGCTGTGACATCTGGCGCATCTTGACTCAGGAACATCCAGAAGCTGAAGCGGGATAGCCGCCACTTTTCTTAAGCAAACAACATGTCCGTATTTGTTAGACAGGTGTTAACATAGAAAAAGTATATGCTCGCTGGGTCTTGTTGTTTTGTCGGGCCTAGATCGTGCAGTCTCGTGCATATATGGTCATGAGATACTGTGAGCGAAAGGAGTCCTCTGCTGTATTACACGGCCTGCCCAGCTGAGCTACACAATGCAGGGAATGGTGTAGGTGACTTTCTCATCAGCATCATCATCATCATCATCATCAGCAGCAGCATCATCATCATCATCACTGTTACATCCTACTACGATGTGTACCTTGGATTGATGTGGACTTAATATGGATGAAACGATTTGCGCGCGGGTTGAGATATGGAGATTGCGTCATTGTTCCTCCGGCATGGGCGACGTGGTTTAGTTTTGGTATGTCTCAATTTATCATGACGAAGTTCCATGCAAAATTCCATGTGACTCAGGGTTAGAAAAGGATATGACAGCCAGCCCATGGATGGATCAAGAACACCCTCAACTGCCGAGGAGAAGCTTCGGGAAAAACTCTGTTGGCACCAGGCGCTCGAACACAGGGTTTGTGCCCTCCCTGCACCTACAAGTTTGAGAAGCTGTACATGCTGGGGCTTCTGATATTGTAAAAGTACATGCTCAGAATTCCAGAATGGTCAGATGTGCCTAATCTATTCTAATGTTTCATGACTGACACAGAAAATATTTATATCAATATCAAATACACCAATGTCAACGAAGAAATGCTGAAATATCACTTACCGGGTCCATTTCCATAGAATCGACACCCCCACCTTCAGATGCGCATAAAAACAAGGAACCCAACTTCACAAGTGCGACCAAAGCGCCATCCACAGCAACATATTGATTCTTTACAAGGTCAAGCCCCCTGAGCAAACACAAACACTACCAAATGGCCGAAATGATATGTTTTATGCTTTTTATTTTTGAAATCTTTTTCCGCCCACGAGCACCTGAGCTCTAGGGGTTCTTCTAAAAAACAGGTGCATGGCATATCATCATAGCCTACATCCGGACATGTCCAGTTCACGCCAGCACCTCGTCACATCTGCACATCTTTACATCTCACATCTTGACATCCGTACATATCCAGAAATGCACACCTTCACACCTGCACATCTTCATATTATGTGCACATCTCTCTCGCTCTCTCTCTCTCTCTCTCTGATTCTCTCTGCGGCTGCTTCGAAATGCGGCAAAAAAACCGCAGCAGCCAAGGCCATAAATGGTCGAAGGATCTTGACCCGATTGTTCTTTCGGCCAGAAAACCGAGGCGGTTTGTGCCTAGTTCCCTCTGTGCATCTCCCCAGGCCATTGAAGATGGTTTTTGGTTGGAAGTCGAGACCATGCTGGGCAGAACTGCAGAACTGTCTGAACAAGAAGTGATTTACACAATAAAAATAACATAATGAGACTCTCACCTTACAAAATAGCATCTCTCAACCTCCCAAAAAGGGCCCCATAGTAGGCACATGTTTTTTAATTACAAAATCAAAGTTTTGTTCTATCGCAAGTACCTTGATTCTGTATGGCAAATCCGCACGGGGACACCCACGCGAAGGGTGCGCTGAAGGCTGAAAGGGTGCGCGAAGGGTTGGCTTGAGAAGTTCCTGACACGTTGTCGAACAAAACACATTCACGCAAACAAGTATCATCATATATCATCATGTATCTAGAATATCTGCATCTTATAAAGTCTTTGCGCAGCATCTTTTTGTAGCCATTCAACATGTTGTGCAAGACTCATGTAATTTTTGTAATTACATACCCATGTCAGGCGGCCTCCACACATAACCCCAGGAAGTCGGCCCTTCGTCGGCCCTTCGTCGGCCTCGTCGAACCAGCGGGGTTCGCAAATCTCCTCATAGGCCAAGCCCACCGCCTCTAAGCCATCCCACACACCTGCAGGTCGACGATTCGAACAGCAGCACCGGAGCTGCTGAAAACGAGGTCCGAAAACGTGTCCGGACCAACTCAGGGGGGATGCTGAGGGCTGTCAGAAGGGTGCTTTTCAAAGCTGTCTCTGGGCAATGCTTTTCAACTGCAAGCAAAATGGCCTCCTTGCTACTTGAATACACTTTCTGCACCTGCAGAAACTGTTGTGCAGGGTATAAATGTTGGTGCAAAATAACCCTCTCAAAGCAAAAAAAACTGGAAGCCAACAAGCTCTCGTAAATAAGTTACAGTATGCCTGCGGGTCAAAACAAATGCATGCACCTCCTCCTCAGAAAATGATTGAGGTGGGCTTGGAGGGTCATTCCCTACTCTGAGGTAGACTAGAGCTTAGGCTGAGCCCAGTCTACATC